CAGTTTTCATTTGGAATATTCCAATGTTTCACAACTAAATGCTGAAAGAATCTCATTCAAATGTTTTGGATATAAATTATATAGTTTTTCCTTTCATTTTGAGATCTGTGGCCAGAGCTTGTTCTACATAGATCCTATACACTTATTTTTTGAAATTAATTTTCCAACTGAGAGGTTCATGCATTTTGTCTTGATTTATGCATATGACAAAACAGAAGTAAGGTTTTGTTGATGGAAATGGGGGTGAGCAGTTACAGTTTTAAGCTACATATGTCACTAAAGACTATCTAATTTGAATTTTAGCAGAAGTTCACTTAAGACGAGCTCTTAGGTTATGAACTGAACGATGCTTAGCATCCATGGATCCATACATCAGCGGGTATCATTTTCTTGAAGGTGAAGAGGAGAACAATAGAACAAAATAAAGTAATATAATTGATATTAAAGGCATCACAGTTCTGAACTTTAGATGTTGCCTTGTTAATTAGTGATATTGGCAACTCATACCTGAAAGCAACATATTGCTTTTGGTTCTGACACTCTTAGGCATGTCAATTGAAATAAATTGTCAACGAAGTGCAACTTGAAACTTTTGTTTTCTTTATTAAAAGATTTTATGATAATCACATAATGGCGTATGCTCACAAATGTGACTTGTACCAAAGTCCAGAAACATAATATTCCCCTTAAGTCAATCTTTGTTTCCCTCCCATTTTCTCTTTCATGTTACTTCTTGTCAATTTCAATGGAAATGTGAGTTTTCATATATATGCGGAAAGCACCCAGTTTTACCTTGCCACCCACTTTCTTGACCCCATCATCCCTTTGCTAACAGAGTTATGTTGACTTCAGGTTAAGCAATATGTTTATTTTAATAGTCTGATCCTTGTTTTCGTATTGCCCGATGGCCTCCCTGTCTCTGTAATCTTCTCCAGACCTGTAATTATCTGTGATTTTTCTGTGCTTTTCTAGTTCTAGTCTTGTTCATCCCCAATTGAATCTTTCCACCGCCGTAGTCATGTCTTTGACTGCCTAGACATTAAGGTCCTGAATACCCTCACCCCACCCACAAACCCCTCTACCTCACTTTGCTTGTTACCATGCTCCTTAAAATCTGTTTGACAAGCCTTTGGTTATCTGCCATAAAACCAGAAGTTATAGGAGCATGATTAGGCTATTCGGCCCATCTGCTTTCACATTCGATCGTGGCTTCTATGGTTCTCAATCCCATTCTACTGCCTTATCATTGTAACCCTTGATCCCTTGATAATCACAAATCTATCTTTATATTGATTAAAGATACCCAATGACTTGGCCTCCACAGTCTTCTGTGGTAATGAGTTTCACAGATTCACCACGCTTTGGATGAAGAAATTCCTCCTCATCTCAGTTCCAAAGGGTTGTCCCCTCACTTTAAGATTGTGCGCTCAGGTCCTAGTCTCTCCTACTAGTGGAAACATTTCCACATCTACTCTATCCTGGCTTCTCATCTGCCCTAATAACTATTTGTTTTAAAATGCTTCAATAAAGGACCTAGGCAAATTTAATTATGTCAAAATTATTGGGACCTTCTAATACCTGTATACAAATTGGCTGCTGCACCTAAGAAAATGACAATTAGTGCACCTCCGAAGTATTAAGCACTTACGAGATGAACTTTATGAGATGTCAAAAAAAGCGTGGTATAAATGCTGATACTTTCTTTTTTGACTAGACATAATCCTCTTCATAACCAGAATCATCTAGCTCTATGCCTTTGTCTTTGCCTCAATTCATTTGCTGCTCAGACCCTTTTCTAGACTTGAATTATCCACCGTTGCCCATCAACTCATACCATCCATCAACCTGAGCTCATCCAAAACTCTGCTGCCAGTATCAATTCCAGCTTGCACCAAATCCCATTCACACATCATTTCTGTGTTTGCAGATCTACATTGGTTTTGTGACAAATAAAGCTTGATTTAAAAATTTACATCTTTGTTATCAAATTTTCCTGTCTCCAATCTCCTCCAGCCCCACAACCCTCCAAGACGCCTACACCCACTGAAGCCTGACCTTTTCCACATACCTGATTTTTATAGCTTTGTCGTCAGCCTTCAGCTGCCCCGTGGTAAGCATCGTGATTGCTTCCCAGAACTACTCCATCTCTCTATTTCTGTACCTCTAAGACACTCAAAATCTATTTCCGTAACAAATCTTTTGTCTTAATATCTTCTTGTGTTTGCTGCCAAATATTGTCTGATCATGCTTATATGAAGTATCATGGGACTTTATGTATCAAATAAAAGCATCCTCAATCACACTGTTCATTGCATTATACTTGGCCCACCTCACCCATCTCCCTTGGTAAAGTCGTACAGCCTCTGCTTAACATCTTGGAGTTGGTATGAGGCAGAGTATAGGAATGATTTTGCATAAACCCCATTGCAGTTTATTGAAATTGTACGTTAGGGTCATGAAGGGAAAAGGAAAGTTTTTTATCATACAATTCAACTTACTTTAAAATGGAATATTTGTGCTGAATTTTTTTTTGGAAGACTTATTATTTACATTGACTGAAAAATTAAATGTAGATTGCAGTGAGGGGTCTGGTTATAAGTATGATTCAACATCAATTTCGTACAGAAATTGAGTGCTGATTTACAAATCCAGCAGTGTAAACTGTGTGTTTGTACTATAGAAACAGAATTTTTCAACCATGTTGGTTCTGAAAGATACTCTTACCTAAAACTGTCCAGAATGGTTGAGAATCAGTGGCAAATAAAGAAAATCGCTCGCAGCAATGTTTTTCTTCAGTTATACTTGAAAAAGATGAATAAGTGCTGTAATACGCTTATTACCTTGGTTCAGATTAATTTACCTTAAGTTTTAGTTAATTATAATTTTAGAGGACACCAAGGTGGGAATTGGTGTCTCTGATTTTATCCCATTATCGGTCTCTGCCTGAAATGAACGTTCTTATAAAAGATATAATGCGCAGGACTTGGTAGAATTAATTACATAGGTATCTTGTGAATGTTGAAACTGGCACTTAGCGTTCCCCTCTAACTACATAAGTCAGAATATTAATACTGCACCAAGTAGACATCATACATGGAATTAATTGATGAGGAATGGAAGGATGGAAGATCAGTCATTAACTTAGTCGATAGTGGAACAGGCTCAAGGGGCTGAAGAAATTTCTATTTCTTGTGTTCTTATATTAGTTACACAAATTATTCTTCAACATGTTCATGTTCTTTTAGACAATGGGCCAAATATTACTGTAATTGCCTGCTGTTTATTATTGCCTTTGGCTATTTAATTTCCAGAAGTTTTTGGAACAGCAAAGTTTTGCTACTGGGAGATGGATATGGCATTTCAACCTCTACAGGGCAGTCTGATGCACATGGCATGCAGCTGTATAGTAGCTTAACCATTCAATTAAAGAATTGAAAATGAGCTGTGCCAAATCTGAATTTAGATGTGCAAATTAGAAAAAGTAGGGAAAAAAAACTGCATCAGGTGAAAGCTGAATTAATGAGATTCCACACATGATAAAGTTAATTTTCAGTGTCAGAAGTTTTTTTGGCAATAATTAAGACTCAGTTAAGACACCATCAAAACAGGTGCCTAGGGTGAAATGGATAAGCCCTGACATGCTGTAGCAAGTTTAACCCACATCGATGATGCAAGTGCAGGAACTTCACACCACTGAAGATGTTTAATGGTGATTCAAGTGGCACAATGCCATTTTCACACTCTTTCAAAGGAATGGCATGCTAGTTACCTTTTTGAGTTTAACTGAGCATCTATACTTATCTAACGTTGCACGTAAACATTGGTGAATGCTATTAGCCTCAATGCTATTTATAGTAAATACTGAACTCAGTGGGAGGGAGAATGGTTTTATTTGTGTTTCAGTGACAACATAAATCCAATGTTTAGCTTGGAGAAGTGTACATTTCATGTTCTTTGAAATTGATGGTTCTATAATTCTTTGCCCATGGCTGGCAGAACTCTAATATTTGCAACTAATTTACCACAAACAGTTTAGATTCCTCCTGTATGCAAACTGAAGACTAATTTTCATATATAAATTGTGCATATGTTACATAATAGGGGGAGGCGATGGCCTAGTGGTATTATCATTGGACTGTTAATCCAGAGACCCAGACAATGTTCTGGGGACCTGGGTTTGAACCCTGCCATGGCAGATAGTGGAATTTGAATTCAATGAATATCTGGAATTAAGAATCTAGTTGTGACCATGAAACCATTGCCGATTATTAGGAAAAACCTTCTGGTTCACTAATGCCCTTTAGGAAAGGAAACTGCCATCCTACATATGACTCCAGACCTAGAGCAATGTGGTTGACTCTTAACTGCCCTTGGGCAATTAGGGATGGGCAATAAATGCTGGCCTACCCAGCAATGCCCTCATTGTCTGAATGAATGGAGAAAAAAAAAATTGAATAACTCTAATATTACGTGAGTTCTTCATAATATGCTGAGGATTTTATTTTCTAATCCTGTCACTCATGAAACCTGCATCATTGGCAACATTTGGCATTTTGAAATAATACTTTAAATATGAGATGGTTAATACATTAATATGTTTTATGTAAAAGGCACATGCCCCCCATAAACTTTAAAACAGAGTTTGACAAGTGAAGTCATTGTTATTGGACATTAAACATGTGAATATTATGCCAATATTTAAAGAAAATATATGTAATACTGATATTGTATTGCACCCAATCTGCTTGTTTAAAATACTGTATTGAATTTGTTCATAAGCATCCACCTGTTATAGCATTTCCTCCTCAAAGGTCGCAAAGTCTGAACTTTATTACCAAGATTCTCTCATTTATGTCCTTATAGAAGATGGAGCTAATCTTATCTCTTCAACCTTGTTGGTGTGGAGTTAATGACATGATCAACACCAAAACATCTCTGTTTAGAAGAAGAAAGTTTTCAATGATATTTTAAATAAATGGTAACTCTCCCTTTATCATCAGAATGCGACAATGAACCCAGCAGCAAAAACGCAGGTAGCTTTAACTAAGGAGTTTCCAGTCTCCTCTGGCACACAACACAGGAAGAAAGAGGTGCTGAATGTTTATGGTGAGTGGGTTCCCATGGAAAAGGACAGTGAAGAAACTACTGATGATGTCTTTACAGATGTCTGTACTCAGGTGAGAGTTGTGCTGCTAACAGTTATACAATGGGTATAACTATTCTATATGTGAGAAGTGTTCATTTTTTAAACGGATCTCAAGACTTTGGAATATGCACAACAGATTTCGTTTAATTGCATGTAGAAATGTGTATCTTTTAAATATTTACATATATTGATAGAATTTGAACTTTAAACTATTATAGGTCTCAGTTTTCATGCATATACAAAAGGTATTCAGTCAATTCACTGAGAATTAATTAATATTGTATTTTGCTTCATCAACCTTAATCTACTTAATAGATTTACAAACTAATGAGCAAATCTATTAGATTCAATGACTTTGTACATGTATAAACTAATGAGTCTCACTGCCTTGTCTTCATATTTTGGTACTACCATGAAGCTAGATTAGACAGATCATAGAATTCCTAAGTGGGGAAGCAGTCCATTCGGCCCATCAAGTCCACACCACCCTTCTGAAAAACATCCTACCCAGACCAGACCCCGCCTACCCTATTCCGGTCCAGTGGCTCACCTAATTTACCCAGCCGAGCTGTGCATTTGAGAGTTTCGGGCTTAATATCCAAACTATTCTGAATTACCTGACATCAGCAAAGACGGGACAGAGCTGATCATTTAGATTTGGTGCTCCTTGGTCTATCATAGATGTTATAAACCTCTGGAACAGGTGAAACTTGACCCCGAGCTTCCTGGCCCAGAGGTAGGAACACAACCACTGCACCACAAGAGCCCTTGCTCCTTGATTGAGAAAGTAATAATTGGCTATGTCTATGAAATCCTTTTGAGTATGTTTATCTTGGCCTTGGGTGACAAAAGTGAGCCCTGTATTCAAGTAGCATGCTCACATCCATTCGCTCATAGTTGAAGCTCGTACAAATTAAGAGCAGGAGTAGGATATTTTACCCATAAACCTGCACCACCAAATGCATTGATACTGGTCACTTGGGTGAAATACTGTTGTGTGATCTGCCTCCAACACAATGCCAACATTCAGAAAAAGAGGATGAAAAGTTTTGAAAGAAAATAGCACAGCAAAATCAGGCACTGGTGTGATAATATTAGAACTTTGTGTTTCAGGCAGTAGATATCTCTGTAACAATGACTGAGAGAGCAACAGCTCAGAGACGTCTTGTAAAAAATCCATATGATGTAGAGGCTATGTCGATGATTCTACAGACACAGGAACAGGTATGTCTAGAAAATATTTGTGCTTTGGCTTGGACTATTGAATGAGGTTGAGAAGGAAAGAAAAATCAGGTTTATGACTTTTCTGAAATGAAAGCTTGAAGGTGACAAGTATATTTTAAGTTGACATTCAAGTTCCAGCTCAGGACTTTTATTTGGAATAAAACCCTAGTGCAGTACAAAGGGCACACTACATTGTCAAAAAGGCTGTTAATGCCATTATTCAGAAAAGGACAGGAATTTTTCTAATATCCTGGTCAACATTGTTCTTTAATTCAGTAGCGATAGATTACCTTGCCATTCAGAACTTTCAGGATCTTGCTGTGTACAAAATATCTGCTGGTCACAGCAGTTCAAAATAATTCATAAATATATACCAACAAGGAACAAGCGTGGCCCACTCTGCCTTTGAGCCTGCTCTGCCACTCAATAAGATTATGGCTGATCTAATTTTAGCCTCTACATTCTAGCATATCCCCAATAATCTTTTATCCCCTTGATAATCAAAAATCTATCTACCTCTGCTGTAAAGACATTTAAAGACAATACATGCACTGCCTTCTGAGCAAGGGAATTCTAAAGACATTCAACCCACAGGGAAAAAATGTTTCCTCGTCTCTGTCTTAAGTGGGTGACTCCTTTATGTGAAGTGTTCTGAAAGGCAAGGTGCTAAGAAGTGCAAATCCCTTCATTGTAGTTTTTGCGTTATCATGAAATATCAATTTGCTTGTACTTTCCTACAAAAACTTTATCTTTAAAGTGCTTCCACCTTGCCTCTGCCACATTCCTCATTTTTTTTTGTTCCTTAAATTCTTTATCTCTTGTTTGATGCTGACTTCTTTTGTGGTATTGTCACCATCTGGCAGCTTAACCAAAAATCCACAAGCTCCCTCTACTCTCACCATCACCCTCTCAACAATAAGTCAGGATCTTCATGGAGGAGAAGAAAGATGGGAAAGATAAGCCAAAAGGAAATGCTGCTGTCATAGTATAAAGTAATTAGTATAGGAGGGATTAAGCAACAATCCCTATATTAATTCTGATTATTTGCAATTCATTATTGGTTCTGGATATTTATGTCTTCAGGTTATTTAGATTTAATAAAACTTTTAAACAAGTACTTATTTTCAACATTTTAATATATGTTATTCTCTTTTACATCAGATTGATATGTGGGCCCAGTCAAACTCTTTGCCTGGTCAGTTCACAGGCAGTACTGGAGTTCAAGTCTTGACCTATGAAAAACTAACAAGTAGTGGCCCCCAAGCTTGGATCAGGAAGGTAATGAATACATTTGTGTGCTAAATTCTGTGGTCAATGTTAAAATTAAAATAATCATGTAAAGGAATTGTGGGTACTTAGAACATGACTGTCTAGGCTTTTTTGTGAAAGGCCACGTTTCAATTCTTTTCTCACTCAAAGGGCCAATGAACAAGTTTTTAAAAGTTATGGTTTAGCACAACATTAAACATGAATTTCAATATAGCAGTTGAGGTATGAAGAAAACGTAATTTGCACGAGTGAGGAAAGTGTCAAAACAATACTTTTAAGTGTTAATCAAGGTAACCAGTTCTGCAAATAGCAGAATTAACTAATAAAATTTTTTTAGCCTTTACACTTTAGCAGAGCTAGATAGAGACAGACTAGGGCCCAAGTCTTGGTCACCAGAAAAATAAGAATTAATATAGGTGGGTATTGAAAGCAGCTTAACTTTCAGCCTCCACACTTGGTCCAAGTTTTAATTTGGAAGAGAGCAGGAGAGAAGGGAGTGTACTGTATCTGGCTTATGAACAAACAGTCACCCATTTCTCCTGCAGACACAGACAGACACACACTCTCATTAAGAGACGGACAGCAGATTCCACCTCCTGTCTCTCCTGGGCCCAGGTGAACCACTCCACTAGTTGGACTGTGGTCCTTCAGAGGACTGGCTCCTATGTGTGAGGACAAGGGCCTTCTTTTCCTCCACTTTTTCCATGCTCTGATGGACGTCTCTCCAACAAGCTCAGTGCTGTGGAAACTGAACACCAGTTACCACTTGTTTACCTTCCCACTGTGTGCTGCTTGTCCTATCAGATACGGTTTTCTGCCACATTTCCTTCTGATAGATTCCCTAGTGAGCCTGTCAGTAGCAAATTCAAGTGAGTAACAACTGTCATTAAGCATGGAATTCTGCAGCATCTTTTAAATATCCATCTAGCTATTCTTGTGTATATCTTAGTGAAGGCTGCATTTACTACCTCGGAGAACCACATCGTGGGCTGCGTGTCGGACAAGCCTGATCTTGAGTCATGCCTTTAATACTTCAACACAGCCAGTGAATGAGAGAAGTGCGCTGCAGTTTAATGTGTGTCATGGGTCAGTGAAGGCGTTTTGTAATTGTCTGATCAGACACTTGAAAAAGAATAATCTTCCCATTGGTTACATATTAGCTGACTTCCTGCCATCGTTTCTGAGCACCCTATATAGAATATTCTACTTGGACAGAGCTCATGAGGTGATTCTGTTTTAGTTATTAATGACTTCAACTGCTTTTGCTAAGAGTTAAACTTGTTACAGAGTTTGGCTGGGCTTTGAAGAAGATAACTACCTTCAATGGCAGTGTCCTAAGTATAAAACAACTATTTTCTCCCCAGAATCTGCCTCACTCTGAGAGTTCATAGGCCTGACTGTAACTGAAAAGTTTGGGCTAAACATTTGAACCTAAAGTAAATGTTCATGTTCCCTTGAGCTTTTCACTAACATTTCAAGTGCCTTGTGGCATTTCATTAAGGGTTTGCATATATTTAACGGCATATGCAAGACAAATCCCAGTGTTTCATGACAACTTGTGTACAGACCAGATGCAAGTATGTTGTGGCTAAAATGCCCTGTGTGAAATCCCAAGAACATCAAAGGTTTGGCTAAGAAGCTTTAGGAAGGAAAAATATGAAACTTCAAAGGATCTTTTGGATTTTATATTATTTAATGCTTAGAATACTCATTAATCAGAACCATGTAAGTGTGTAGTTTTACAATATGTACTGACATTTTAAAACGTTCTTGGCCAACCACGTGTTCATACGTAAAAAGAAGCATATTATTTTTAATTGGTGTTGTAAGCTGATTTTGGTGTAAACTAGGAAATACAGCAATTAAAAGGAAAAGTAATACTTCACATTTTGTATATTTTGACTGACACATGGTTGGTATTTCACCACTATAGTCAATCCATGAGAGAAGAAAAAAAAAACTAATGTCTGTTTCAGTTTATGTTCAGTGGTGTATCCAGTTCACAAACAAGAGATGCAGTTATACAAAGAGAATCTAACTGGAGCCTGAACCTAAATTGGTATGAAACTGTTGTTTCATATATCTTTTATTCTATGTATGTTATGAATGCACAATATGTTTTTTGTTCTTCAAACTTCTGAAATTCTGCATGGCTGTTTAATACACTGGGCAATTTTCATGGAATAACTTTTGGAAATTTAGGAACCCTAGAAATAACACTTTCTTATCCGTGTTTTGTCTGCAACAATTTTTATCTCTCTCATGTTACTTTCTCCTTCCTTTGAAATCTATATTTCTTTTAACGGTTTCCCTTTTCCTCATTGCTATATTCTCAATTTGAGCTGCTGTGAAGGTGTGGGCATCAAGTGGCAAGTTTCTTTTCTAGCAGTTTTCTTTGTATTCCTAATCATAAGATTTAGGATCAGAAGTAAGCCATTCAGTTTATTGACACAAAAACAAAGTTGTTGGAAAAGCTCAGCAGGTCTGGCAGCATCTGTGAAGGAAAAAACAGAGTTAATGTTTCGGGTCCGGTGACCCTTCACTAGACCTGAAACGTTAACTCTGTTTTTTCCCTTCACAGATGCTGCCAGACCTGCTAAGCTTTTCCAGAAACTTTGTTTTTGTTCCTGATTTACAGCATCCGCAGTTCTTTCGGTTTTTATTCAGCTCATTGAGTTGTTTTGTTATTTAATGAGATCACGGCTGATCTGATAGTTCTCAACTCCACTTTCCTGCCTTTCCCCCATCGTCCGTCATTCGCTTACTGATTTAACATTGGTCTATCTCAGCCTTGAATATACTTAATGACACAGCCCGTACGGACTCCTGCAGTAAAGAACTCCACAAATTCACTACCCTCTGAGAAAAGAAATTCTACCCCATCTCTGTCTTAAAAGAGATATCTTAGTCAGAGATTATGCACCCTGGTCCTAGACTCTCCCACAAAGGGAAACAACCTTTCCACCTCTTATTATGTGATCCCTCCATAACTGGGATCTGTCTAGTGAATCTTCTCTAGACTGCTTCCAATGCCAGTATATCTTTCCTTAGATAAGGGACTCAAAACTGTTCACAGTATTCCATTTGTAGTCTGATTAGTGCCTTGTATAATTTTAGCAAGATTTCCGTATTTTTATACACTATGCCCTTTGAAATACTGTGTTTGACAAACATTCAGATGATCTCTTGTAAAGAAGGTATGCTCCTCTGAGTGCAACCTCACCCTGTTACTTCAGCACTAGAATCAGAAACAGTACTGTTTTTTGCCATTTTGTACTTTCTCTCACTGAAAGCTGGCAGAACTTATCCAATGATGATAGCTAACTTTTCCTATTATTTAAGAATGAAGTAGAATCATGACCCATGGTTCAGCGCACTGTTCAACCAAGATAGCTATACTTTCTGCTGTCCTCATACTTATATAGTTAACCTCCTTTTAATTTGTTTTCTTCTAGTTCAAAAAGAATCTTAAAATTATGATGTTTTTAGAACAAATGAACAGTTTTCTCTTTTCTTGAAAATGTTTTGCCTTTCTATTATTTGCAATTGCCATTTTATGTCAGCACCAGTTAAATAGCACAACATATGGTGAACCTTAATCATATATCTGATGTATTTAACTGGCTGCTATGTTTTAAGAGTGTCTTTTATGGGGGTGCTTTTTTTGGAGCATTGTTTTCTCTATGACATTTGAATATTTGAGTTCTCTTTATACTATAAAATTTTCTTTTTTCAATACTCAAAGCAATAGATTGAAAGAAGCATGTTTATGGTGTTACATCATATGTCATCAACTATAGTAATGCATTAAATGTATTCCAGTCTGCTGTGATAGAAAATGTGGGAAGAGAACACTTTATAACAAATTATTTGATTAATACCTACCAATTTTCTGTCTAAATTGTATAAAGTTAATAAAGTATCTGACTTGGATTTGTGAACTGAATACACATTGGAGGTACTGAAACAGATGTTGATGATAAAAAATTCTATCATTACAAAGCAGGTACAAAAGCAGGACGGAACCCTGGGCGACTTTGGCTGGGGTTTTTATCATTCTCTGCATGGTTGCCTCTTTCTTTTGTGAGGTTCCTGGAAAAAACAGGGGAAGAAGCAAATGGAAGTAAGTAGAATCCAATCCAGGTTTTTGGGATGAGGCAGTTGGTATACCAGATCCTTAGTTGATTTGAACAACTACATTTAACTGTTTTTGCATGCATTTTAAAATTTATTAAGCAAAAATAGTTTGTTTCAAATATGGGATAACACAGTGCGGAGCTGGGGGAGCACAGCAGGCCAGGCAACGTCAGAGGAGCAGGAAAGCTGACGTTTCGGGTTGGGACCCAGAAATGTCAGCTTTCCTGCTCCTTTGATGCTGCCTGGCCTGCTGTGCTCCTCCAGCTCCACACTGTGTTATCTCTGACTCCAGCATCGGCAGTTATTACTGTCTCTTGTTTCATATATGTTTCTGTTTAGTTGTAATGAAAAGTTGATTACAATTCTTGGATGCAATTTAAACAGCAATTAAAGTTGTAGTTGTTTTAAAACAGTTATAAAGTGAATTAATTCAAGTGCTAATCTACGTAATTTAACTATAATTTTTTTAAATTCAGCCCTGGCTCTTCAGATCTACCATTTAATATTTACATTTGTTGATGATATGGAAATGCTTTAAATTTAAAAATTATGTCCTTCCTAAAACAATTTTGGAGTAACTTAAATTGGTATTGATTTAATTTAACATTTTAATAGGATTTTGAGATTATGCTGTTTCCTGAATTTAAAATGATTCAATAGCCTCATTGTCAATGCTTTTACTACAATATGATTCAGTACCTTGTGCTGCATTTGTGGTATTTGCTCTGACACATTGGGCAGGCTGATTACTCTCTAAACCGAGCCTTGATGGCCTCTGCATGCACACTGAAACCTTCTCCCAATGAGATCCGCATGCTAGCTAAACATCATCATCAGATGTATTAAGCGAAACATGAATGTATTAACTCGAC